CAATCCTAGCTACTCAGGAGGCTGAGATCTGAGAATCACAGTTTGAAGCTAGCCTAAGAAGGAAAGTCAATGAGACTCTTACCTACAATTAGCTACCAAAAAGCCAGGAGGGAGATGTGGCACAAGTGGTAGAGCACTAGCCTTAAGCAAAAAAGCTGAGGGACAGTGCCTAGTTCCTGAGTTGAAGTGCCAGGACCAACACACACACAGAAAGTGTCACAGTTAACTTTAAATATTTAAGAGAATAAAGTCGTCTTCTAGTAATTCAGTAGAATCATTTATATTTGATATAAATATAAATGAAACTAAGAAACTGTGTGCTGATAGCTCATGCCTGTAATCCTAGCTAGTCAGGAGGCTTAGATCTGAGAATTTTGGTTTGATGCCAGCCTACACATCAAAGTTCATGATAATCTTTGTCTACAATTAATGGCCAAAAAGTTGGAAGTGGAGCTGTGGCTCAAGTAATAGAGTATTCACTAACCTAGAGCAAAAAGACTAAAGGACAGTTCCTAGGCCCTGAGTTCAGCCCTAACACAGGCATGTGCAAGCATGTGCACACGCGCACACATGCACCTCCCCCCACACACACATAAAACCCCAATAATCAAAGAAGCTGATACAGAGTTTTACTATAGAGCAAAATAAAATCAGTTAAATTATAAATAAAATTATCAATGCAATCATACAGTTGGAGAACTGAGAGAAAAATTCCGATATCTAGGAAAGGGGAGTTAACAAAGCAGTTGGACCCTATATCCCCAATGCAAGGTAACACTTTTGTTGTTAAAGATGTGAAAAGTACAAGAAAGTACCCTCAATGTTGCATCAAAAATTCTACAGTGACTGAAATGCATTTCAGATTCAGTAAATAACACTACAAATTGCTTATGTTAAAGCAAAAATATTTCAAGAGCACCTAACATTCCAAGTAGAAGGTCATCGAGTTTTGCTGAATAATCTATATGAAATAAGTATTGTAGAAATAATAAAGCTATATTAAACCACCTTAATAAAAATGATAGTTAAATATTATTGGCTAAAGCTATTTATAATTTTAACAAAAGCCATTTTTTTGGGGGGGTCCAGTCGTAGGGCCTGAACTCTGGGCCTGAGTGCTGTCCCTCAGCTCTTCAGCTCAAGGCTAGCACTCTACTACTTGAGCCACAGCGCCACTTCTGGCATTTTTCTTTTTGCTTATGTGGTGCTGAGGAATCGAACCCAGGGCCTCAGGTATCAAGGCAAGCGCTCTACCACTGAGCCAACTTCCCAGCCCAACAAAAGCCATTTTATGAAATATCATAAATATTTTTAAATGATAAGCACTCACTTTAGCAAGACACTAATTTTCCTGATTATAAAAGAAATAAATGTTCATCGTAAAAAGGCTTAAACTGAACAGTAATAAATAAACCAAAGAAAATCTTTATTAATTTTAGTATTTTCAAATAAACCTACAGAGCTGGGAATGTGACTGAAGTTGGAGAGTGCCTACCTAGCAAACATGAGACACTTTAAATCCTAGTTTCACCTAAAAATAAAAAAAAATGCAGGCTATCATCACGGTAAGTATCAGATAGAAAATGTCTTATCATAAAATAAAGTTATGATTATTTATGATTATTAGAAAAACTAGTCCTGGATGATTTCTATTTAAGAAAAATATTGAAAGGGTAATCCTTTTTTTCCTCTTCTGACAATTTTATTTTTCTTAATACCTATACATTTAGCTATATTTCAATGTATTGTTTAGCTTCTCATATTTTCTTAATCCTAAAATGTCTACATGCCCTGGAATAACTCATCAGAGCACAGAATTGACCTATTAATATATGAATGGTGATAGTCCTCAGGAAGTTTTTATCAGCAGACTTCCTATGTGTTAATCATCTTTTGTGAACTTTACTTGTATTCAGTTGTACCTTTTTCACATCTGATAATAATAGTAAGGCTGAGGTTGATTAGAAATTCTCTTTCAAGTCAATATCCTTTCTTTTTGAACTCATAAAAGTTATAGTATCTTCAGAGAAAACCAGTTTATTAATCATTTTTCTCTTAAATAACACATTTATGAAAAAATCATGCAAATTTTATTTTCATGAATGAGGAAACTTTGACTGCAAAGAAAAATGGTAAGATATTCCTGGGCAAACCTTTCTTACTATGGCCATCCTAACAAGAAAAAGAATGTTTCAGTGTATTTGGTGTACTAAAGGAAGTAAGTTATTCCATAACCTTATCTGACCATCTCATCTCAACATCTGTTTGCTAGGTATTTCAAATGATATCTTCATGAATAACTATTTGTGGGAAATGAGCTTTCAGAAATTATAAGACTCTTCTATATTTTAAAACTCTGAAGTTAAACCTAAAATTTGAGTTGAAACAGATTCGAGAATAATAAAAATGTTACTTCTCCAGACCCAAAGAAACATACACTGCATGATTTCCCTCACTTGTAATAACTAGGACATGTCTAGGATATTCTTAGCAGAGGATCACAATGGCTCAATAGCAATATGGATATGACCATATAAAATGCTTATTGAAATGAACTCCAAGAAATAGAAGCAAGAGTTTGGTTTTTGTTTTGTTTTGTTTGGGTCCGGTCATGGGGCCTGAATTCTGAACTCTGGGCCTAGGCGCTGTCCCTCAGCTCTTTCAGCTCAAGGCTAGCATTCTACCACTTGAACCACAGCGCCACTTCCAGCTTTTTTCTTTTTGCTTATGTGGTGCTGAAGAATCGAACCCAGGGCCTCAGGCATGCAAGGCAAGCACTCTACCACTAAGCCACCTTCCCAGTTCCGCAAGAGGTTTTTTTAATTGCATGGTTTGCAGTTATTTCTTTTTTCTTTTTTTTTCCCTTTGGTTTATGCCCTGTGGTCACTGTTTATTTCTGTTCCCTTTGTCTTGTATATAAGTTTATCAGATTTCCAACATTCTTTCTTAAGGAGTCATGATGAGCACATACATTACTAAAGTTCATTTAGTTCTCAAATCTAGCTGAATAGATAGGAACAAGTCCCTCATTTTATCGATATGAAAACTGAGCCTTTGAAACATTCAGTATTTTACTTATAGCCCAATAGTTTATGGAAGCCAGGATTTCAGTTCAGGTTTCATTAATTTGTAGGTTACAAAGTCTTTAGACACTGTATAAATTTCAAAACACTTATAAACTTCAAAACAGCTACACAAATATAGCATCCTTATGCAATAATATATAACGTTAGGTTGAGTGTCATTCATAAGCAAACTGAATAATTAATATAGAATGGAGTATAATGCCAGCAAAATTACTTATGCTTCCTACAAAAAGAATAGGTTCAAATTAAGTATTTACCTTGTTATAGAAATACAAATTAAATTATGTAAAAGGAAAGTTAAGTGGTTTGTCAGTTATATATGAAATGCTGTAGAAAATGAAAAACCTAAACTAGAACTATGATAAAGCCTTTCTTTTCCAACCTTCCCCTTCAAAAAATTCCTTTCAAAAAGAAATTCTAACATCTTAAAAAGTTATTCAAGGAAACATTAACAAAAATGAATAAAAGCAACATCAAGAATATACTATGCCCCAGAGGTTCATTCTGATTATAAACTAAGCTGCTAAGTTTTGGCTTAACTGATTGCTATTTTAATTAAATAAATTCACAAGATCAAAGAAAAAGATATCACATGGGAAGAAATGAAGCCAAAGTTAGAGTGAGAAAAAAGAAATACAACAAACACTCTGAAAAATCTTTTTTTTTTTTTTTTTTGTTGGTCGTGGGGCTTGAACTCTGGGCCTGGGCGCTGTCCCTCAGCTCTTCAGCTCAAGGCGAGCGCTCTACCACTTGAGCTACAGCGCCACTTCCGGTTTTCTGGTGGTTTATTGGAGATAGGAGTCTCACGGTCTTTCCTGCCCAGGCTGGCTTTGAACCGCGATTCTCAGATCTCAGCCTCCTGAGTAGCTAGCATTACAGGAGTGAGCCACCAGTGCCCGGCTTCTGAAAAATCTTATAGGGAAAAGTCAAACAGAAGTACACAGGCTTGAAGGTTTTTGTATATTAAAAAATAAATAAATAAGGCAGTGCAAAAGGGTGAAGACTACAGCCTTTGGCTCCAGGCCGAACGAGTGTGCCAGCTTCCTCAATCTCTGTCACTAAAGGGTTGAGGGAACTTCAGTAAATTTTTTCTTTACTTTCCTTATCTCTAGACTGGGAATAATAATGTAACCTCAAAGGGCTGTAGTGAGGATTAAAAACTATAACACACATAAAACTTCATATTGTTGGGGCTAGGAAGGTGGCTCAGTGGTAGAGCACTTGCCTTGCATGCATGAGGCCTTGGGTTCGATTCCTCAGCACCACATAAGCAGAAAAAAAAAAGCTGGAAGTGGCACTGTGGCTCAAGTGGTAGAGTGCTAGCCTTGAGCTGAAGAGCTAAGGGACAGCGCCCAGGCTCAGAGTTCAGGCCCATGACCGGAGCCCCCCAAAAAAACAAAAAAAAAAAACACTTCATATTGTTATGTTTCATGTAGAAAGACCAGAAGAGTAAAATGCAATAATCATGGCTTCTAGCTTTCTGTTTAGAGCACCTACTGGTTTTTTTTTCTATATATATTTATATTCTAAAGAAGAGAAATAAAAATTGAATTCCTAAGGAATATGTATAATATTGAACATTTTATTAATGTTATGTGAAAAGTTAGCAATATTCTTTCCTTGAACTAGTCTGCATTGAAAAGGTGCATTTCAACTCATTCAAAATACCCTAGCAAATGGGGCAAGAATTAATACAAACTCCAGCTACTGAAGGCCAACACATTTAGACTTGATTACCAAACAAATACACCCTTACTTCTACTCAGTGTTTCAGTAAGCTGAAGCAAAGTCTGATATTGATATACAGAATACTATTTTATTCTTTATTTTAAACCTTTCTTACATGTTTAAAAAATATACAGGGGCTCATTCAGAACAACTTCAATAAAATGACAACACTTTTACTAATGGACCTCTGAAGTAAAACCACAAACATGGTTGGTTTCTAGGTTGAAGAGTCATAGGCACATTTCATTAAATGCATTTTATAAAACAAAGAAATCCTAAATGCTGAGAAGAAAAATACTCAGTGGTTTGATACAAATCTTTTGGTTAGGAAACTTAAGGTAAAAAAGTAAAGAGATCATGTTTTCTATTGTTTACACTTGCCTCACTAGTGATTTCCCAAATATCACGTGATTACATCTATACCCCTGGAAATTGATGACATAATTTCAGGTAGCACACTAAAAAATAATTTATTCTTTGCATGTGGAAACAGATTATTACAAAACAAAATACTGACCACTCTTAACTGCATTTGATAAATAAGTATATTTTTAGCATCACTAAGAATGCAGCTTGTCTAGTATAAATATCTAAATAACTACATAAAAGTATTATCCTTTTAAAATAAGTTTTTGTATTTATGTTTTCAAAGTTACCAACTTAAACAACATTGATCTATATATTCTACTAAGAAAACACAAGGTATAGATCACAGTTCACATTTTCTTTGCTGTAAAAAATATACTATGTGCAAAGCCTATCACACAAATAACTAGTAGACAAAACAGTAAGCTATAATAAACCTAACACCAAAAGTTAATTTTTCACATTTAAAAATTTATAAAAGGACATTCCAAGTAGCATTAAGAGTGATATGTCATTACTAGGTAAGAATCCTACATCTGCATTAGAATTACTTGTGGGTTTTATCAATAAAAAGAAAGCTTCACTATAGCAAAAAAGATACCTTAGGCACATGAACTAATTTCAAAGAAACAAAATAAAAATACTTCCAAAATACATCAAAAATATTTAACACAATCTTCCAAATAGTTACTAACTGGTTTACTGGAAGAAATAAATTATTTAACACTATAAATGCCTTATACTGTAGAGTCTTTCATTAACTAAAATACGTCTGGAATAAGGTACCACAGGGTTCAGATAAAGAAAAATGTAAAGGAAAAAATAGCAGGCTGCTAGGAATAGGGGTAAAGTAAATGTCCTTTTACTCAGAAGTAACAAAAATACTATTGTTTTGTTTGTAACAGAAAAGTTGTGATGCAGAGATTATAAAACCATAATAAAAAGGACTGCGTGGCAAATAATACAATGCTTACTGTGTAACCTCCATGAGGAAACTACTAAGGACTATAGAATAGTGGGTCTAAAAGTACTCTTTGAAACAAAATGTTATACATGGCCACATACGTTGTATGTACATCGGACATTTTTATAATTTCTGCCAATAATCTCTGCAACAAACACAAAGAGTGAAAGACATGGGAAAGAGACAAAATGAAAGACAAAGACAGAGGCAGAGTACAGTTAAAGAAAGGAGACAGAGAGGGGCTTCTCCTGTTCTGTAGAAGACTGGAAATACTTTTTTCATCCTCAGTGCTGAAGTTTTCCTATTGCTACACATATATATTCACATGCTATGTTTCTCTCATGAAATAACCCTCTTTTTATGCTTTCCCTTAGGTTTTTCATGAAAAAGAGAAAAGAAAAACCCCAGATATCTTTAGTCTTGTTCTTCATTTCATAATCAACTATTCACATAAGTAGTTCCCTGGTGGCAAATTTCCAGATGAATCAAGAATACAATTCTAAACCACTGTCAGATTACATTTGATTTAGTATGTAGTTCTCTTCAGATGGAGCAGGAATTGGCCCGTTTCCTAGGTTTGGGGTCTCGTGCTTCTCGATCCTTCACACATATACAAGATGTGCACATTGTCTCAGAAAGTCTTCGGAGGCCTAATCGGAAAACGCTGTTGGAGAGGCTGTATATTACACAGTTACAAAAACTGTTACTTATTGCAAGCCAAGTAGTTAAGAAAGATAGTGTTGGATTGTCCAAGACACGAGAGCTTTCTAGAAGAAAGTAGATAATATATGGGAGCCAAAGCATGTAAAATACACTGGTTATCCTAAATAAAACCATGGCATAACGACGGTCAGGGCTGTGTCCTGTCTCTCTAGAAGCTTCTACCTCATGGCTAGGAAATCTAGCCCTTCGATCATTTATCTCTTTGGTATGTTGACGGCAAATTTTGAAAATGTGGAAATAAGTGAAGCAGACAACAAAGGCAGCAGGAGCATAGAGTAAACAAACAATAAAGCCAGTAAAATAGGCACTAGTGAGCCAAGATGTGGCACACCATTCAAAAATGTCACCGTGGTAACCAGGTTTCCCCCAGCCAAAAAAAGAAGGCAAGAAAATTAGGCAGGAGTAGATCCAGATCAAAATAATACAAATTCTCAGGCGACAAGGAGTGACCAGTTGATTGTAGGAAAGAGGTTTGGTTATTGCAAGATAGCGATCCACACTGATACAAGCAAGGCATGCCATAGAAACACTCTTTAGAACTGAAATGATATATCCAAAAACCTGGCAAGTCAATGACTCATGGACACCTGTAGAGTAGTGAAGAAGAGAAAGAGTAGGAACCAAGCAGCTAACTCCAACGAAGAGATCAGCATATGCCATTGTCTGTATGAAATAGCTGGTAGTATAATGATGCAACAGTGGAGCACAATGAAAGACAAAAATAACTGTTAAATTCCCAGCAATGATTAGAAATGTCAGCAAGACAATAACAACTGTCTCAAAGATGCAGACATCCTCAGCACCGTAGTGACCAAATCCAAGTGGGCAAGCATGACGCTCAGATATATTCACGATGCTGCTGCTGGTGTTCAGGATCTGCCATTCAGTCCACCTGGATTCATTCATGGCTTGGAATTAAAGGAACGTGTAGTCTTGGCTCCAGCAAACAAGTGCCCTTTCCAGCATCTGCTAGACTCTGCACTTGGGTGTCTTAGAACCTGCTTCGGTAGACAGTGTCAGAGCTTCTGTTACAGCTGAGCGTCCCAGAGTATGCTCAGGTCTCTTCATCAGCCTTAGCTCACCAGTGACACATCTCAGCTTTGAGGGATAAGGGAGGAGGGTAAGCTACAAAGGTGAAAAGAGGTCTCTGATTAGCTCCCTCCAGTGCTCCCAAGCAACTTCTATTTTTTTTTTTTTGCAGACATGAGGCCCTTCTATAGAAAATGATTTACCATGTTGCATGAACTATTAAGTCTGAAAAAATAAACTGCTAAGAGAATAAAGATCTTTTTCTCCTAAGAGGGGTAGTTTCTTAGGAATCAACTAGAAAGGAGGAGAAAAAAATTGTCTTAAATTGTCTCAGGATGCCTGCTTCATCTATGACAAAAAATTCACATTTTTAGAATTTAAATAACTAAGATCTCAGCTTTGGTTGGAAAGCTAACAGAAAGTTCATGTGGCAAAGAGTGTCCTTGAGCTCAGTTCAAGTCTGATGTTGATAGGTCAACATTATTATCCATTCTCACTCATTTTCTTAAAGGTAAGAAAAACAATTCTATCAAAGATAATTGCAAAAGACTCATTTCTGGATAGACACAAAGGAGCAGAACAGAAGTAAAAGACAGATTCTAGTTTTCCCTCTAATGCTCATGAGAAAAAAAATATCTCTAGTAGAGAAGATAACATACAATGGATTAGTGGATTAATACCTAAAAATGTGATAAATTTCTGAAATTTTAATTCTGCATTCATTTTGTAAGCAATTAGGTTAAAATAGCTTTAGTCCATTACTAACAGTACTACTAATAGCATTATAATTTATACTCCTTCCCATTCCAAATGAAATCTTTTAACATCTTTAACTAATATCATTAGCCTGATACGCCACCCTCCTTATAATGGAGCATAATAAAAAACATATAGTTCAAAGTAATTTCTCACCTTTGCAACTAAATTCATATTTCACATATATGCAAACATAAATGAAACTTAGACAATAGAAACTTTCCTATATACTGAGCTTCTTTCACCAGGCATATATTCATTATTTATTACTACTGTCATTATTTCTAGTAGGCTCCATAACCTATTTTGCTATATTTTCTATTTCTATTAGATGATTAACACATTAAATCACTACTTCAGTTAAGTCTTCTGAAAGTGAAAAATTACCTTGTTTATTATATTTGCAGTTATGTAGCAGCCATATGTTAAGAAAATGTCTCTTCTAATTCTGTATTCTATTTTGAACAGGTATTCAATTAAAACAGGGGCCATTAGGTAGGTTGTGAGATGGTCTTGTTTTAAAATACCTCAAAACATCAAGATGAGTTTATATCCTCGAGTCTGAAATACTGAAATGCTGGCAGGATAGAGTCCATCCAAAAGGCTTCCAAGGTCATTGTGGCTTCAGGTTAACATTTGCAAAAGTCTTTTGTAAAGTACAGGCATTTCCAGAGTTTCCTGTCAGTCTTTGTTGTCACAGCTTTTGAAGAAAGAGCATGCACTAGAAATAAAAATTTCCTTCAGAAACAATGCAGTAGCTTAATAGAAAGCATTTTTCTGAAAGTTATTTTCTCATGCACCACAACATCATTCAGGGGAGTCCGTCTTCTTTTATAACAGCTACAAGATATTCTTCCTTGTATATTCTTAGTTTCACTTATCACAAAATAGTTCTCTTGTTACAGTAATAAGGTAATGTTTCTCACCTACATTCACTCTTATCAGCTGCTAGGCTAGGCTGTTTGATTCAGAAGTCCGATTTACTGTGATGCAGTTATCAGACGCTGTCAGTAGCTTCTTCACAATTTCTCAGTATTACTGACTCCACCTGAGCCGGAGCCCTGCTCCTCCTCCTCCTCATCCAGAGCTGATACAGAAGAACTCACCATCAGAAAGGTGACTCGGTCCTCCTGCCCCAATCAACAGCACAGCCAATGGCTACTGCAGCTGAAAACTGTCACTAGGTAACAGTTGCCAGGCACATGCAGGCTTATAGACTTACTCAGCAAGCTCCGATCAAGATCGACAAAAGAAAACAATAGAACTGACCACTCCTTGTAATATGTTAAAGGTATTTATAAACTTATAGAGGTATTCCCACTAACCATTTATAAGGATTACTTCCTGTGAACAGAACAGAAAAAGAAAATCTGGCATACAACTTTAAACCCCATAAAGAATCACAAGGTACTATGATACTAAAAGTCAGCAGTAATCTAATGCTCATTGGCAGAAAAAAAACTTATTAATTATTAAATATCAGCTAAGTCTTCATCAACTCAAGGCATATAACTATTTTTCTCTATAAAATATATTTATATTTTGATAAATAAAATTTAAAAGTCATCTAGTAATCTCTCCATTTATTTCCTACCAAATCCCCACAAAATTGATGTGCTTAAAATATTTACTATTTAGAAACACTGGAACTAAAACCACTATATTAAAATCTGTTCAGAAAAATATCTGAGATTAAAGATGATTTAAAAAGAGCACAGGTACCAGAAAACAGTCAAAAGACTGCTTAAGCTACTTCTACACAAATGTGCAAAAAGAATCAAAGGACCCAAGAATTTTGCCATACAATGAATGCTTGAGCTACACCAATACAAGTTTGAAGAAAGCAAAATCCAATCAAATATTTGACACATACTAAAAACATTTTTGCTTATTTTGACTTACATTATTTGTCGATTTAACTATTTCTCATGTAGGGAACACATTTTGTATGTGCTAGTCCTGGTGCTTGAACACACATCTGGGTGCTGTCCTTGTTTTCACTCAAGACTAGTGTTCTACCACTTGAGCCATAGCTCCACTTCCAGCTTTTGAATAGTTACTTGGAGATAAGAGTATCATGGGCCTTACTGCCAGGCTAGCTTCAAATCAGGACTCACAGATCTTAAGACTCCTGAGTAGCTAAAATTAAAGGTATAAGCTACCAATGCCCAGATTAAAACTTTTCTTAAACGTGACTTGTGGCAGACAAATGAAGAGTATTAGATGGGGAGAATGCACTCAAGTCAATTTATAGAATACAAAATTAAAAACATAGGTCTCATGGTTTCCCTTATTTGCAATAACTAGTATATGTCTGAGACAAGCAGAAACGGTCAAAGAAGTTGATGTTAGGCAAAATGAACCCCAAGATAAGGACTCAAATGGTTTTTCTTTCTTGCGAGTGTTTCTAACATATTTTTAAGATATTTCTTTGTTGCTTTGTATGTCCCTCTCCCATGATATAACCCCTGTTTTCACTGTATTTGACGTTGGTATAATTTGTGGCGGGGAAGGGAAAAAACAAATTGTTTAAATAGGGATACAGGTGGACCCATTGCAACAATGAGATGTACAAGATGTTATCTCGAAAAACAAACTTTTACAATTTTGGCAGGGGTGGGGGGTCCGGAGGGGGAGCCGCGGGGGGAGTTGGGGGCGGGGAGATGGGAAGGGCTGAGAAGGGGAAACAAAGGAGGAGGCAACAATGCTTGATAAGAAATGTACGCATTACCTTGCCCATGTAATTGTAACCCCTCTATATACGGTATTTTCACAATAAAAATAATAAATAAAATTTTTAAAAATAAGGGAAAAAAATTAAAGTGCAGGAAGAAGTGTGTTGGGAAGGATGGATGAGAATATTGACAGGGCTGTCACTGGTCAATATGCATTGTATTCATAAACTGCTTTGCAAAATGGCAATCCCTCTGTACAACTACTTAAGGATAATAAAAAAATATGTATGACAAAAAAGTAACTTAGAACTAATTTTAAAATTATTTCAGAATTGGGGCTGGGAAGGTAGCTCAGCGGTAGAGTGCATGCCTTGCAAGCATGAGGCCCTGGGTTCGATTCCTCAGCACCACATAAACAGAAAAAGCCGGAAGTGGAGCTGTGGCTCCAGTAGTAGAGCGCTAGCCTTGAGCTGAAGAGCTGAGGGACAGCGCCCAGGCCCAGAGTTCAGGCTTCATGACCGGCAAAAAAAAAAAAAAAATTATTTCAGAATTAAAATAAATCCAGAAACTTAAGAAGAAAACTAGTATTTGGCATGCTTGTGTACAAGGCAGTATATATAATGCACTATGTACAAAAGCACTGTTATATGCTTGTATATACTTTTCTACATAAAAATCTTAAATCTAATAAGTAGGCCCTACTAAAAGAAAAAGTGGGTAGTAGAAAGCTTAGTAAGGCTTTCCTACAATTATAGGAGTTGAGAAACGGGCAAGAAACACTGTATCTTCTCTTTTTACTGATTATTTCCAAAGATATGTATTACAGCCAGGCACCAGTGGTTCATGCCTATAATCCTAACTACTCACGAGGATGAGATCTACGGGAGGTAACATTCTTTTTTTTTTGGGGGGGGGGTCCGGTTGTGGGGCCTGAACTCTGGGCCTGGGCGCTGTCCCTCAGCTCTTCAGCTCAAGGCTAGCGCTCTATCACTTGAGTCATAGCGCCACTTCCGGATTTTTTTTTTCTTTTTGCTTATGTGGTGCTGAGGAATCGAACCCAGGGCCTCATGCATGCAAGGCAAGCGCTCTACCACTGAGCCACCTTCCCAGCCCCGGAGGTAACATTCTTATCTTCAATAAACTGCACCCCCACCCAAAAAAAAACAAAGAGGCTAGGAGTGGAGCTCTGGCTCAAGTGGTAAAGTGGTGACTTTGAGCAAAAGAAGCTCAAAGACAGCACCCAGACCCTGAATCCAAATTCCAGGACCAGCACACACACATGTACACACACACACACAACCACTGCCCCACAAAGTATTAAGAATTACTTCAGACTTCAAAAAGCTTATACTTCTTTCCATTTTCTACAGCTTTTCAGGAAGATTATGTTACTGGGGTTTATGTGAAATATAGAATGGTAAGTGCAGTTCTTATTTCCAGAAGTATTTATAAGATAGATCTTAGAATGAATACTTT